GTCTTTAAATTTCTTGTTGCTTTAAAATTTTTCATTGTAGGTAACCTGTTTTCTTTCTGTTAAAATGTCTGTATGGCCTTATCTGAAACATTAGGTGTTTGCTGCAGCACACCCCTGCCTTAATTCACTGGGAACAAGCCTATGGGCAGCTGGTCTGGACAGTGGTACTGTATGGAGGTGCTACCACCCAGGGAAGTGGTACTGGTCTGCTTTCAAAAGTCATTCATAGGTTAATGGTGGATTTTATTGAATATAAGATGCATTGATACTAGTGTTTTTTGATCTAGATCTGATCAGTTCGTTCTCACAATACTAAGTCAGGACTGCCATCTGGCTGGCGGCAGTTGTAAGATGCCATTGATGTCAGATGTTAAAATGTGGAAGAACATGTGTCTTAGAATATCTTGCAGACGGACCCATGAATGTTCTAGCATCTGATTACTGTTGAAGGCTTAGAGACTTACATATGAGAAGTACTTGCAGTGTACTTATGAGAAATACAGAGCAAATGACTTCCTCTAGGAACTTCACCGCTGTGCTAAATGGCATCTCTTTTTGTTGCAACAGCCTGATGCTAACTGGGGCACGTCCTCTCTTCACTAAAGTGGCATGGCTTCCCTCATTAGGAGTCCTGTGCTGCCACACCCTTGAAATGGACCAGCAGCGAAAACCTTGGCCACCTTATCTGTGCATTGCTGGCACTGATAGATCTTTCAGTATCATTAATAGACTTTTTTCTCATCGCTGAGTTTTTTTTTGTACTTTCAACCTCCCTGTTCTACCCCTGCCATTCTGAGCCTATTAATAATGGGAGTTCCAGTTACCCCATTTTCTTGCTTCCCAGGTAGGCTGCTTGACACTTCTTTTAATTGTGTATTATCTGACTGCTATAGAAATTTCTGGTTACCCTTCCATATTTTTCTGGTGCAGATAGGGATTTCATTTTACCTATTTTTATAGTTCTTTAGCCACTGCGGCAATTTGAGAGGAAGGGCAGTTAATGTGTGGGCTAATAACAACACTGTCATTCATTCCTTCACCAGGTATTTATTGAATGCCCTCTCTATACCTAGCATAGTTTTGTGAGTACAGCAATAAACAATAAATAGAGAGAGTACATCTAGGTTCTGGCTTTAGAACATTGATTCTGCTTAGTTCTGTTTTTTTAAAGCTAGAAGCTTACCTGGTTCTACTTCCCTTCATTTTCAGATCTCCTTTTAGAAAGATGTCAACTTTAAAAACCTTAACTTAGAATTGAGTGATTTATTGACAGGTTGATAAATGCTTTATTTGACTTAACACTGATGTAGTCTCTAGAAATAATTTATGTTATCGTTTGCTTTTTAGCCGATTACACCTCAACAAGAAGGCAACTGACAAACAGCCATATAGCAAGCTCCCAGGTGTCTCTCTTCTGAAACCACTGAAAGGAGTAGATCCTAACTTAATCAACAACTTGGAAACATTCTTTGAATTGGATTATCCCAAAGTAAGTACAGTGTTGTATTCATTAGGAATGGGTTAGACCATGGTTTTTGGTTTCGTTTTGTTTTTTCCCTTATGGTAAACACTTAGAAATTTTAACATTCTATAAAGTGAAGATATTAAAAATTCACTATAATGTTGGCTTCGTAAAATTTAAGCTTTAGTTATCATCATCACAGGACAGAAATGGGTTGGGGAAGGGTATAAATTTCCTTTCTAACCACCTCTATGTCCATCTGAAATAGAAATCCCTGAGTCAACCTCCTGGGATTTAGGCATTGTCAAGTGCCTGGTAGTTTGAATATAGAAATTTCCTTCCATGAGTGTTATGTGTGAACAACAGAAAGGCCAGGCACAGTGGCTCATGCCTGTATTCCCAGCTACTCAGGAGGCCAAGACTAGAGGATCGCTTGAGCCCAGGAGTTTGAGGCTGCAATGAGCTGTGATCACAATATTGCACTCCAGCCTGGGCAACAGAGCGAGTCTTTGTCTCTTAAGGAAAAAAAAAAAAACAATAGTGAGGGTAGTGAGAAGCAATGTTCAGTGGGATACAGGACAGCTAGAGCTAAACATAATTCCCTGGAGAGACTGGCTTTGTGCCAAGAATAGATTACAGTCATTGGCAAGGTAGGACTTCATCTTGCCTCTTTTTTAATTTTATTATTCTGATTTTCAATAACTAATGGTATTGCCTATACCATTTAGATAATCTGTAGATCCATAAACCCAATCTATAACTCCCTTCATTGGAGATCTTCTAGTTTTCTTGAGATAGAAGTATCTTTTTATAACTTTCCTTTAGAATTCTGCCTGTCGTTTCTTAGGAGAA